CGGGCTCGGGCCGGACCCCGGCCCGCGCCGTGACCCCGACCGCGCGGCGAGCCGAGGAAGCCAGCGCCGAGCTCACCTTGGGCTTTTCGTCGGCCATGGCGAGCGCCGGAGTCTCCTCAGCTGCCGCTTCACAAAAGAGGTACCAGGTCCGCACCGAACGAGCACACAAGCAGCACCAGGAGCGGCAGAAGAAGGAGGCGGCAGCGGTGGAGGAGGGAGAGGGCGCGCGCACGTCGTGCGCTCCCTCCCCCCACTCTGCGTGCGCGAGCACGAGTCGCCGGGGCTTCCTATTGGTTGCCGCCTCGCGGGAGCGCGCAACGCTTACATACCCCCCCCCCCCCCCCGCCTCGCACCGCCCTGGCGTGGGCCCGGCGCCCGCCAGGCCGGCGGGAAGAGGCGCGGACACGCGCACCCGGCCCGCCGCGGGGGCGCGCCTGGCTCTGGGCGGGGCTGTATTGTCCTCCTTCTGTGGTGGAGCTTAATCAAAATGGCTTCCAGCTGGTCCTCGGTGGGGACGAGGAGGCTTGAGGCCTAGACGTGAGACTCAGGCCGGGGAAGGCAGACTGAGTAGAGGAGGAAGGGGGAGCCTAAGTAAAAGCCCCAGCAGGAGGATCTGGGAAAAAACCATCTTGTTTGGTGACCCAAATGCAGCTTTCCACACGGTTGGAGGTACATCATACTCACTCAGCCTCTCATCTTTTGAATTTTAAAGCTTCAGCTTCAACCCGCTTCCCACCGGCCTCTTGCTTCAGTGCGGTGCCTCCTTGCTTCTTGCTGGTAAACCCGTACTTGGCTAGCTGAGGAGAAATTTTCATCCTACAAACTCCTTACTCATGGCCTGGCTCCCAACCTCCAAGAGGAAACAGGATCTGTAAGAGTGAACCACTCAATATCCAGCTTCCAAACCAATCGGTCAGGTTAAAAAATAGAAGTAGGTCTCTCCTGTCTTAGGAACAATCCTGACTTCAATGCAGTGGATTCCTCCCGCTACTCTCGGTAGGTTTTATTATTTCCTTCGTCCTATGCTTTCTTCCACTCCTCCCTTAGCATAGAAAAAGACTCTTGATTCTGTTTCCTTCTTCTATCTAACTCCATTCTTGGCCAAACATCTTGAAAAACTGTCCATGCCAGCTGCCTCCACTCCCTCACCTCCCACTCACTCCTCAATCCACGGCAATCTGGTGCTGTCCCTGGAGCTCCGCTAAAACTGCTCTCTGCAAGGTCACCACAGGCTTCTGTGCTGAATCCAGTGCGCCTCCCCGTTCCTCACTCCTCTGAACTCCCTCCCTGTGACTTTGGGCTGTTGACTCGGGCGGGTCCTTGATCCCTTTGCAATTCTTTTCCTCCTCAGCCCTTCCCTTAAATGTTCCTTGCATTCTGTTTTAGATCCTTTTCTCTTATCATTCTGTTCCCTCTCCTGGGATGATTTCACCCACCTTCTATTACCATCTATTAGCTAATGATCCTCAAATATGTATTTCTAAACTAGATCTTGCTCTGATCTTCCAACCCATAAATCCAACTGACCTGTGAACATCTCCACCTGGATGTCCCAGAGGCACCACAAACTCAGCAAATTTCAACTAAAATTCCTCACTTCACCTTCCGGGAACTGCCCTTCTCCTTTGAGTTCTTGGTTCACTGAGTGGCACACCATTACAACTATTTCTCCTCCAAGCCGGAGAGCTAGGGGGCGTCCTTGACTTCCTGCTCTTCTTCACCCTCGCCGGTCCCCATGCAAAGGATCTTTGAGTCTAGTCTATTCCACCTTCTAAATACCTACCAAATCTAGCTACTTCTCTTCAGCCTCTGTCTGGTCTCTGGGCTAGTCTCATTTCCTGGGCTTCCAGCTGATCCTTCATGGGGAAAAGGAGGCTTAAGGCGCTACGTGTAAGACCGGCCAAGGAAGGCAGACTGATCAGGGCAGGCAGGTGAAGCCTGAATTCAAGTCGGCTTACCCCAAGGCTACTGCAATAGCCTCCTGTTTTGTTATTATTTTTGTAAGGTATGTCCCTCTTGTGCCTATATATTTGAGTGGATCAGAATCATCTGGGGTACCGTTTTTTGTTTGTTTTTGTTTGTTTTGTTTTGTTTTAAGCAAGCTCTACTTCCAACATGGGGCTTGAACTCACCTCCCTGAGATCAAGAGGTGCATGCTCTACCACCTGAGGCAGATGGGTGCCCCTAGGGTACCAGTTTAAATGCATATTCTTAGAAAAATAAAATAAAATAAATGCATATTCTTGGGCAATGTGGCTCTGGAATCCCCCATTTTTAACAAGCTTGCCTGGTGATTCTTGCACACACTGGTCTGAGAACCACAAACCATTCTTTTTTTTTTTTTTTTTTTTTAAGAATTTTTATTTATTTGACAGAGAGAGCACAAGCAGAGGAGTGGCAGGTAGAGGGAGAGGGAGAAGCAGGCTCCCCAATGAGCAAGGAGCCAGATGCAGGGCTCGATCCCAGGGTCCTGGGATCATGACCTGAGCCGAAGGCAGACACTTAACCGACTGAGCCACCCAGGCGCCCCCACAAACCATTCTAAAGTAAAAACAAGGGCGCCTGGATGGCTCAGTTGGTTAAGCGACTGTGTTCAGCTCAGGTCATGATCCTGGAGTCCCAAGATGGAGTCCCGCATCCGGCTCCCTGCTCAGCAGGGAGTCAGCTTCTCCCTCTGACCATCCCCCCTCTCATGCTCTCTCTC